TTGTCAAGCCAGAAGATCTTATCATGCTTGCAAGGTAAATGGATAGAGGTCAGACAAAGTCCAGTCCCCTGGTCCTCCAGGCTGGGGTTCGACTTGAGTTGGCGTCTCGGTCCGTAAAACATATTGGAGGAGTAATTGATCCAAGTTAATGGGCCTCCAATCCGCCTTAACCGCTGCCTTGCGGTCAGGTTTTCGTTAGAACTAAAGGCTTTGGACGAAAACCCTAAGCATTCTCCTGCTTAGTGGCTGTACACCCCAGCGGTACCCGTCCATCAAACCCCAATGCATACACAAACTAAAAATAATTCCATACTGCATTCGTCGTCGCATAGGATAATCAGAACCGCGCTGCCCATTGCATCGAGCGGTTTCATACTCCGTCGATTGTCTGCTGCTCGTGAAGAGTGCACACGTGAGAACCAGGCTGGCTTTAGACCTGGTCGAGGTTGTATCGACCACATCCTTACTTTCCGTCAAATCCTAGAACACGGACACTCCTTTCGTAGACCCACCATTTCCATCTTCCTCGACCTGAAAGCGGCTTTCAACTCGGTCGACCGCTCTAAACTCTGGCGCTGCCTTTCCCTGAAGGGTGTGCCCGAGAAGTTTATTTCAATATTACAACCCCTCTGTAATAATAGCCGAAGCCGAGTCCGAGCTACCGCACTTTTTCTCCCGAGTTCACCACGGAAAGTGGTGTTCGACAGGGTTGCCCTCTCTCTCCTTTTCTATTTGACTTTGTCATAGATCTGATTATGAAAACAGCCCTATCCTCGTGCAAGGATGGCGGTATCGATTTACTCACAGGCGGCAGGCTGTCTGATCTAGAATATGCAGACGACATTGTGCTACTAAGTGAAGATCCAGGTAAGTTGAAAGCTTTTCTGGATAGTTTGAGTACTAGTGTAACCAGGTTCGGTATGCGCTTTGCACCTTCAAAGTGTAAAATGTTACTTCAAGACTGGGTGGGTCCTGCACCCAGCCTCACCCTAACTGGGGAACTTGTAGAGAAAGCAGACAAATTTTTCTATCTGGGCAGCTATATTTCCCCCGGTGGACGCAACGCAGATGAAGTTTCGGCGCGCATACATAAAGCTCGGTTGGCACTTGCCAACTTGGGACATTTGTGGCGTCGTCGCGACATCCGGCTGTTTGTTAAGGGTCGAGTGTATGCTGCAGCAGTTCGGCCAGTCCTGCTATACGGTGTAGAAACTTGGCGATTAAGAAAACAAGATAAAGACAGACTGTCGGTGTTTGAACATCACTGGCAACGCAGCATAGCATGAATCTGGTGGGGCAGCCGGACGAACTTTAGGTAAATGCAGTCGCCCACTGGAGGAAGTGATCGACCTCCATGGATTACGTTGGCTGGGACATGTGTTACGCATGTCACCAAACAGGTTGCCACGGGGGCGATGCTTGGCGAAGCAGGTAGCGGTTGGAAAAAATGAAGGGCGGTCAAGCTAAGACCTGGAATGAGGGCATGAAGACCCTAACCAGAAGACTGGGTCACATAGGTCCCGTTAGGCTCCCTGGCTGGAGACCTCGGGATGATCGTAACCTATGGTTAGAGACACTGAGCGATATGGTTGGCTGTCTCAAGCAGGGCGCTTGTTCATCTACTCATTTGTCTTGTGACTTCAGTCTATGAAAATCTGCTACCTTCCGCTTAAATCTGCTCTCATCATCCTAATCATCGTTCTGCTACATTATCCAAATGGGCAGTCGAAGGACAGCAATCAAAGCCGGTGCACGAACGTGCATGGTTAGTGGTTGTAAGAACATAATAGAACAGTATGTTTAGAGGCTGAAAAAAAGAGGAGATATGAATCAGAAGAGCGATATACAAAGTGTTATGTCAGGGTCTGAGCCTCAGGCTTACTTTACTTACTTTACTGCGGCTGGCTCCTTTTTTAGTTCAGTTTTTCAGTTTAAACAACCATTAAGCACGCATTTCCTTTCGACGCTTTTGATTGCTGTCTTTTGGCTGCCTATTTGGGTGAACAATAGGAGGAAAACAGGAAAGGATAAGCCGGGTCCAGACATGATCAGGATCAGGATCATGGAATTCTTCGGCAGTTTGGTACGAGAGACGTCCCCAGCGTCACTCGGCGTTTTTGATTTTGAGGGTGCACCTCTAGCCTTTGCACAACCAAGTGCAAACTTCGAGGCAGCAGGAAATAATCCCTCGCCTCGGAAGTGAGGAGGTAAAAGGCTTCAGTTTTAAAAGGTCAGTCACATCAACCTTTGTCACGACACCGTCATGGGACTTATGCGGCCTGGAGCCAGGTGACCAGCCTGAAACCCACCACACCCTGGTAGTGCCGTCGCTGTTTGTTCGCGACTGCTTATTTGTTGCGATATGTTACAACTTATTCACAGTTAACCTTCTTCGGTAAAGGTATCCCCCTATCCACAACCCGGGGACGCGCCTGGTAGCTTTCAGTTCTGCTTAACGCGAAGGTATCCAGGAGCCTCAAGCCCGTCAGAGACATTGGATATCATGAGTCAGTACCCCTGGTGGATAAAAATCTCGAAAAATCTCGACCTGCCAGGAGTGCTGGTGGCGCAGTGGTTTACTTGCTGTCACAGGCGTGCTTTGGACCCTATAGTCCGACGTTTAAGCCCTGCCACTGCCACCCAACTTTGGTGGTAGACAGCTTTGCTGTCGTCCGGTTCAATACCACGCCTAACCTAGAAGGGGCTCATGTGGTTCGCCACTAGGTCCCGGGGCTTAGGTCACCGGTTTGCATCACTGAACAACAGGTCCTGGTAGCCATGGGGTTCACCTCGTCTGCTGTTCATCACACAAAAGTGTGTAATAAAGTGTGTATAATAAAAAACCGTCAGATCACGAAGAGCCTCAAGAAGGACCGTGAAAACTAGTGGGTAACAATTGCTAGTGAAATGGAAGTAGCAGCCGCGCCAGGGTATAGTTAAAGACTGTTCCAACTGATACGCAATACAGGAGGTCGGCTAACTCCGGTTAACGAAACAGCCTGCGATAAGAGGGGACGAGCTATTCACAACAGGGATCAATGACTGGATCGCTGGGCGGAGTATTTCAGCTGGCCTGGCGCCAGTCAGGTTACTTCATCTATAACTGAAGCTCCATGGGCAGTGTTTTGCGATTCTCCAACAGAAGTAGAAATTCGGTCTTGCATTCAAGCTCCGAAGCAAGGCAAGGCAACAGGATCGGGTGGGCACCCTCCCACTGTTTTCAAGGTAGGGGTAATAACCTCGTAAGCTCTATTACTATCTTACTGCGCAACATTTGGACGCAAGAACGCATTCCTTCATCCTGGGGCAACCCACTGACCATCCTCATTTTCATGAAAGGATCTCGCAACGATTGCGAAAACTATCTCGGGATAAGTTTGATCCGGATCGTTACCAAAGCGCTAACCTCGGTCATACTTCGACGTCTGACTTCGATTTCATTATTTATTTCAACACGTAACCAATTACAGAGAAATGGCAAATGTGCCACAACATATGAACAAAAGAAAATCTGTAGAATGTGTTTATGGGTTGTGTGGACATGTTACTTCTCGGTTGCCCTAACTAAATGCAATAATAATATTTAATATATATAATGCAATACAATAATACAATAAAAGAAGAGAGTCCAACTCTTTTAAGAGAGACCAACATCCGTGAACAGAAAGCCGGGTTCCGGCCTGGCAATGAATGTATTGATCAAATTTTTACGTTGCGTTGGGTCCTTGAGCTGCGTCACACCCACTGTCGACCAACGATCGCAGTGCTTCTTGACCGGGAAGGAGGTTCGACTCAATTGACCGCGAAGCTCTGATAAGTTCCCTTCTTCAAAAAGGAATTCCCCAGAAGTACGTCAGCTTACTGAGGTTACTGTGCTCACATACCGATGGTCTAGTAAGGGTCTATGATGAACTAAGTAGGCCGTTTGTCACCAGCAGCGGCGTTCGTCAAAAGTGCCCTCTGTTATATTTGAGTGATGCAGAGTAATAGAGAAGAGGAGTCTGGACGAATGAAGGCTTTAATCTTCTAACAATTATAGTGCAATAGCTAAAATGTAAGAAATGGAAGAGCTAATATAGTTCAATGTAAAATGGGGTAACACATCAGTTTATGACATTCTCCCCTGCCGAACAAGGAAATCATTGACGCTTGGGGATTCCTTTTAAGCCTCTGTTCCGCAAGTTGTACTAGCAATCACGTTGTTTTTCGATGTGCTTTCGCAGGTTGTCTTGTAGATTTGGCTGCATAGCTGACTTCGGTTGGAGGGGTTATACGGGATCTGTGAATGCGCGGTTTCTAGCTGTAAAGAGCTGGTCTCGGGATACGATTGCGAGTGGTCGTCATTGTTAATACGTTGGTTCGCTTCGTTTTGTTCTTTCTCCTCCATCTCGTTCTCAGGTCAGTAGTCGCTCATATCAAGTTTCTTTCCCCCAGAGGTAGAACTTTTATCTTCGAGTTCTCTTTTTCCTCAGGACTGCAGCATTTTGGATATCTCTTCCCATCTATGTATTTCCCATCTCAGTTTTTCAAAAGCAGGGTTAGCAAATTGGTTTTCACCTGAATGTTCCCTCACATACTTTCTTTCTGTATGTCATTGACTGTGGGGCTTACCTCTTTTGCTGTAAATTACTTACCGTAATGATAAAAAATCAGCAAACTGGTTCTTTTTAATAATAATAATGATAATAATAATAATAATAATAATAATAATAATAATGGTTCTAACTTGTATTTTTCTTTTAAGCTACCCTGTAGAGTGCATCCTTGAATTCTGGGGATTTCTCGTTTTAATTCTGTGTAATTAAAAAAACTAGCTTCCCTGTTGAATGTCTGTTACTTACACAATACAGTGATTCCCAGATGATGAATTTCCTTCATTGCATAATTTATTCGGTGAATGATAAAAGATGAATGAGGTTTTGTTTCGCTCGTTTAAAGGAACTGCATGGTTAATTTTAAAAAAAATACTTTTTATTTCAGCCCAGTCACATCTGTTCGCTATGAAAGAGCACAAAAAGAAAAGCAAGTTCATCAAACCACGAGATGATTCTTCGGTAAGAATAGTCTTCCTGAATTTGCCTTACTCTTCAGTCTTCGGAAGGTGAGTATGAGTGGACGGCACCAAGGGTGGAGAAGACGACAGAGCATTCCTCTGTTACCGCGGTAATCTGAATGAGTTTAATCGTATTTGGTAGGGACATTCATGGATGGGTGAGCTCAATTCAATGGAGGGATTCATTGATGCCTTTTCCAAAGACCGTCCACAGAAAAAGAAAAATGCATCACGGTCGGAAGTCAGTACTTTTTGTTTGAAATTGCATTGTCTGTTCTCTAGACACAAACAAAAGCGGTGGAACTAAATCCTTATTGGAATGACGGAGGTTCGGGTATACCGGAAGGTGAAAATGCATCCCAAGGTCTTACTGCGAAATCAACTTTAACGGATGAAAATGAAGCATGGCTTTATAAATCTTACAAGCGTTGTCTGGAACAGGCTAAGGAACAAAAGGTTCCCGTGCGACAACTACTATTAGAACGTTGGAATGAAGCAACCGTGGCTGATATGCTGTGTAAATTTGACCCGCATCACAAATTTTCTGAAACGCGTAGTAGGTAAGGTTATTTTCGGCACTAAAGTGCATTTGGCTTCTATGTAGTTCGATGCTTTTGTTGTTCACATGGATGTGTTATGGCTATCACAAAATAAATACTCAGTGAAATGCTGTGATAGACTGATCCCCTATAACACAACAGGATGGTTTTTTACAAGACGGGGATCACCGACTCAGACAAACTCCGATTTCCTTGTCTTTCGGGGTTGAGGTCTTACTTGAGTTGACATCAGTCGAAAAAAATGCCGAAAGAATAATCGATACGACCAGATGAGCGTAATTTCGCCTTCTCATCGCTTTTCGGTCAAGGTCTGTCCCACCTAAAGGCTTTCTGTGAGAGGCCTTGTTGTGCTTAGTGGTGGTGGCTCAAGTAAAGTGAGGTAACCAAGTACTCTGACGGCACACTGATTCATATTCAGCAACCCCGTCTTGAATGATGGACAGACCATCTTAAGGTACAGTTCAGCTGGTCCTCGTCGACACCAAACCTCCCACTACCCTTTTCAGTTGGGCAAATACTGCTAGCACCTATCAGTCCTCCATTTCGAATAGTGGTTACAAGGAAAATCAGTTACCTCAAAAGGTATAAAGCCTCCAGACCAGGTGGACTGTTTCTATCGGTTTTTATGTTTTCAGTTTATGTTTAAACAACCATTAAGCATGCATTTCGTTGCCCTGCTTTTGATTGCCGTCCTTCGACTGCCCATTTGGGTGAACAATAGAAGGAAAACAAGATGGTTGAAAGTAGGATCGAAGAAAAAATGGAGAAGTTCAGTAGATTAATGATGCAGAGAAATCGAGATGCACCAACGACACTGTTTACGTCACCCAACCATATCGCTCAGTGTCTCTAACCATAGGTTACGATCATCCCGAGGTCTCCAGCCAGGGAGCCTAACGGGACCTATGTGACCCAGTCTTCTGGTTAGGGTCTTCATGCCCTCATTCCAGGTCTTAGCTTGACCGCCCTTCATTTTT